GGGAAGTCATTAAAGAACTAGAGGACAGTTATGTGTTTCGTTGGTGCGACACTGCACCCTGACAGGCTCATTTCTTCCTTGTGACCCTTCTGACAGGGGGTGTCCGATTGACTAGAGATGGACTTTGGGTTTGCACTCTGCCCTCCCCCTCATTCACATCTATATGATTTTGTTTTGGGTCTTTAACGCCTGATACCTGATCCCATCAACACCTCATGATCACACACGCTGGTGTGCTTCTTCCATGTGGGCTTTGTTGCTTCTCAGCTAGATGGCCGCTTGTTTATCTTCAAGCCTTGAAGACCCCAGAGGCTATATCTTTTGATAGCTGGGCACCATCAGCTTTATTCACCATAACAAATGCTATTTTCATACTCTATTTTTGTGATATGTCTTAGTTCTGCAGACATAGTTTTGTATTCGTGAATGAGCATCATTGAAATTTTTGCCTTATGTATAACCTTCATTGTTTCCTTAAGTAGCGTTTAGTCACCTAAGTTTTTAATTTGTATAAGTGAACATTCCATGTATTTTAGTCTAAAAATGTTTCTTATATGTGTATATTTTTCTTTTCTTAGCAGTATTCTAAATTCTGTACCATTGGCTGGATTAATGATATTTTTAATAGAATTACCAAATGTCCTATGAAGGTTATTTACATTACTTCTCAAGAAACTGATGATGCTGCCTCTAAAGTAGACCAGGAATATATATAAACCTTAGATAAATGAATGAATTTTGAGCTCCCAGTTAATCATAAACTCTAATCTAAGAACATTTAGCTCTTATGATGTGACCCTGCTCAATATTTGCCCCCACAAAGTTACCACTGAAGAGATGGGTGCTGTAGCAAAGTGTGGTGAAGAAATCAGATGGTGTCCAGCTGTCAGAAAGAATCATATCTGGGTCTTAAAGTCTTGTCTTTAAGCAAGCAGCCATTTAAGTGAGGTGTCAGTTAAGTGCACACAGAAGGAGGACACCAGCCGGTGTGATCCAAGGATTGTTAATAATAAAATCCATTATCAGAGGAGAAAATTGAATTAGAGCTTGCAGTTTGCAGAGGGCTATGGATGACAGTCAAAACCCAGAATCCATTTGCAGAATCCCCACATAGATTACGCCTTTGCTGAATTCCCTCTGACCATTGTAAAGGAGAGCAGCTTCGAAAAAGAGAAAGGCCGCCAACAAGATGGGCTGACGCACTGGTTGTAAAAATGAGCCCAAACATAAAGACAATTGTGAGGATGGCAACAGCAATGCTGACCAGGGATGTGCATAATCTTGCCCTCAGACAGGGTGCACTGACAAGCCTAGGAAGGGGCAATTTACCTTAGGGGAATATCCAGGTGTCTCCTTGATGGAGATCACTGTACTGGGAATTCTATAGTCATGAACCATGTCCTGGCGGCCTTGTGGAAGCCCCTGGACCAATACTGTATGATCCTCAGTCTAATGTAATTCGCATGTCCCAGTCATGGCCTTAATCCGGACTCTGGGGTTCCACTGGTGACTATGATGTATTGTTCTGCCTACAACCGTGTTTTTGTGACGTTTTTCTTTGACCTCCTGAGTTAGTTAATTGTGCCAACCTGGCCAATAATCACATGTGGGGCTAATTGAAAGGCGGAGGGATAAATGGGTGGTGAGCCTTGCCTTTCTAGCTCTCGGGTCTCTTGCTTTGTGATGGTTGCATCGGGTGCAGCTGCCTCAGCAGTTCCCTGCTTCAGCTTGCAAGATTGACTTCCTACAAGACATCCCCAAGGAGAAGCCACATGGACCTATCCCAATGCAGCCCTGGGTGCTGGAGCAGCCGTGTGGAGACCCCTGCCAGTGCTGAGATGCTTATTCGTTCACTGACTCAGCTTTCCTCCTGCAGTCGGCATCATTGCCTCTGTTTTGTGAGGTGGAGGACTTTGTGGACTGGTGCTGGGTTAATGGGTTAATGTTGGACTTGTGGGCTTGGGCAGCATTGGGTTGGGATGTTTTCATGATGCACACTTTCTTTACATAAAACTCTCTTATACGTGAGTTGCTGTGGATTTGTTTCTCTAAAGTACCCAGACTAACACACCTCCCATGTCCTTTTGAAAGCTCTGTACCTCAGCAAACCCTTGGACTCCATTATGACCTCAAGTTAGTGAACTCTCTTGTCTGAGTGGTGTGTTTCTGTAGCTTTCTTATCCTTGTTCCTTTGAAGACTTAATACACGTTCTGTTTTTTAAAAAAAATAAAACAAATTGACACACAATCTTAACCATCATATCCAGAGTCACTCTCCCTTCACACCTCAGCTTTTTTTCTTTACTGCCATATGTATGTCATTAATGCACAAAGTAGTCAGTTGATTTTTGATGATTGTATCAAATGTGAAATATTACAAATAGAAAGCATAAGGGAACTTTGGAGGGGATGGGATTGTTCTAAATCTGGATGGTGATGGTGGTTACATGACTATGTGTTTGTCAACAATCAGGAATTAATCTTATAAAATAAACAAAAATTAAATATAGCTATAAAATTAAACAAAATATACTGTTGTTCAGTCAGGTAAATTCAAATAGCAAAACATTTTACTCTAACTGTCAAATATTAGAATCTAATTCTGCACAAGTCCCATATACTTATATAGTTGTCTAGAAGTTTCTCTTCCTGAGCAACTAAAAATGAACGCTTAAAATTTACCATTAGCTATAATTTCAGCCAATGACGGGAGAGTTCTTCTAGACCTAGAACAGTACCTGTGATGGTACGGTTGGGTTTTAAGCCTTTGGACTTAACTGGGTCATGCTTCTCAGTAGTTTGGCGTTTATGAGGGAGTTCTCCCCCACGATGAGATATAACAGTCACGTCTATGGTGAGATCTACAATGAGCAGCCAATAACTGAAACATTTTCTCAGGGATGTGGCCTGCTTCAAATATTCATGTGGACATTCTGGCAAAGTTCTCCTGCTCTTTACTGGATCAGAATCCTTTATCTGGCTCATTATCATGTGACTTTCCATCCTTTGGACTTGAGCTAATGACTTACTGTATTGCCCAGCTGATCCTGGGAAGTGTTAGCCTCTGTTGCCTATAGTTAGAGCAGCCTGCCATCTGACCTGCCGATCCCAAATTCATTACCAGCAGTAGCTATGTTGAGCTGGGAGAATCTGCCAGTCTGACATCTGACCTGGACTTGAAACTTAACAGCCTTCTCTTGAGCCATTTCCTTGAGCTAAATCTCACTGTAGATATATAAGCAACCCTCGTTTTGCTACTCTAGAGAACCCAGTTTAAGACAATGTCCAAGCAATAAGCTATTAATTTTCAAAAATAGCCTAAAAATTGAAGGATGGAAAATATATCAAGCTAATGGCAATTTAAAAATCAAGAATGACAATATTAATCTCTGATATAATAGGCTTTAAGGCAAAAATCCATCATAAGAGACAATAAAGAGCATTACATAATGATGAAAAGGAACATAGAGCAACAAAACATAACCATAATAAACAGTTATGCACCTAATAAAAAACTCTCCAAATACCTTACTCAAGCTTTTATGAAGACAAAGAGGAAAACAGACAATTCTACAATAATACCACATGGTTTAAAATCAGGAAAGGTAGCAATAAAGTTGAATTCTCTCACCAATCTGTGTGCTGAGCAAATCATCAGAGCAGCTGGGTTATATAAAGAAGAACTAGGGCATCAGGATTGGAGGAAGGCTTATTGACCACCTGGGACATGCAGGTGACACAACCCTGCTTGCTGAAATTGAGGAGGACTGGAAGCCCTTGCTGATGAAGATCGAAGACTGTAGAACTCAGTATGAGTTACAACTCGACACCAAGGAGACCCACACCCTCACAACTGGACCACTAGGTAGCATCATGATAGAGAAAAGGTTATGGAAAGTACCATGAACTGCCATCAAATCTGTTCAGGAAGAAGCGCAGCCACAGTGTTCCTTAGAAGCCAGAGTGGCTAGACTTCTCTCACAGCCTTTGGACATGTCAGGGGAAACCAGACCCTGGAGAAGGACGTCATGCTTGGAAAAGTAAAGGGGCAGAGAAAAAGAGAAAGGCCTCCAACAGCATGGACGGACACAATGGCTGCAGCAAGGGGTTCCAACTTAAGAACAATTGTCAGAAGGCGCGGGACGCCGGCAGTGTTTTGTTCCGTAGAGCACAGACCGCTATGAAGCCAGCACCTAACAAATAGGGGCCTGGTGGTGCAGCGAGTCATGCTTCGGACTGCTAACTGCACAGTCCGCAGTTTTCATCGACCAGCCACTCCGTGGAGCGCCCCTAGGGAGCAGGCCTGCTCTGCCCTCCAATGTCGCTTCGGAATGAACTTGTTGACAGTAGGTAGGGAACCTTCTGCAACTTTGTGTTTTCCCATTTAAAAAAAAACACCACTTTTCTTTCTGCTGCAATAAAACTGTAAAAAAACAAACAAAACTAAGCGCTCATGGTTCTCCCCAATATAACAGTGACGTGCCAATACCAGGGAAGTGGCGGAACAAGATAGCCACCCCCGCTCATCTCGGCATTCTTTCCCATCCTCGGCCAGTGAATCCCGTGAGAAGGACAGTAGGGGATCGCAGATGCCAACAGGAACAGGTTGGGAGAAAAAGTGCATTTAACTTGCATGATCAGAAGCTGGGGCTTTTTGGAAACACGCTTGGGGATTATTTGAAGACCGGCAGGGCGGAGGACTACGAATTCCCCTGTAAAGGTAACACTCCGCTCACACTGCGTAATCGCGGCGGGAGCGCCTTGGACCACCAGGGGGCGCGATCGTACCGCGTCCTAAAACACCTTGTCCCGAGTTCCTCCCGAAGCGGTGCGTCGCGTGGAACGCTGGGAAATGTAGTCACGGGCTGGCAGCGTGCCCCTCTTTCGTGGTGCACCTTGGGAATTGTAGTTCCAGGCAGAGAGATGGGCAGTACCTACGAGAGCCGACGTTGAGTTCTCAAACTACAACTACCAAGCGACAACGGGCTCCTGGGTGTTTTTTTCGTTTTTGTCGCCCCGGACTCCGGGAGCAGATTCGGACGGTCAACTTGACTAGGTAAGTTTCACTGATGAAAGCTCCTGTTTGGAGCCTAGGTGTCTGCAGATTAGTTCGTTTCGAAGCCTCCCGGTCGATTAATCTCAGGGACTCGACATAAGCCTTTGTTCTTTCAGTTTCCTATTCAGACGCCTCTGATTGTCGTCCGCACCCTGACCCCTCCCTGCTACCTGGCCCATTCCGGTGTCCTTGCGGTCCGCACAACTTTTGCCTGGGACCCAACCTTCACGACCCCCCTCATGGGCCCTTAGCACTACTCGGAGCCTCCACAAGTCCCCATCCAACCCTCAGCCTCCCACAGCCTGCTTCGGACCCTATCTTCTTTCTGGACTGCCACCCCTAGCCTGGGCGCCCCCATTCCCCACCCCCGGCTGCCAGCCCACTTCTCTAACCGAGGCTTCGCTCTAACACTAGCGGACCGGTCCGGCTTTTGGTTCCGGTGGAAATTGTGTTAGATCTCCCATGGGAAAGATATACCTGGGTCCTTGGCTTTGCGTGAGAAAATAATTCACCCCGAAGCCTGTACTGTGACCAAAGTGAGTTTATAGAGAATAGAGGCGGCCCAAGTGCGTGGGACAGCGGCTCAGCCACTGGGCTGCAGTCAGGCCGCTCTGCTGCTGGGAGGGAGTCCCTGAACAATGCCTCTGGCTTTTCAGGGGCCCTGCTGGGAGTCATGGTCAAGGATTCTTTCTGGTCGACCACAGGTGTAAGCCCACCTAGGTGTACCACCCCTTCCTGGTCAGAAACTTGACCGCTGAGCATGAGTAATGGATGGCCCAGCCCTACACTAAGCTACCTAACATTTCCCCCCTGAAGAGGTATGGACCCAAATCTTTGGGGTACTGGCCTAAGACATCTCTAGTTACTTCCTGATGACCAAAGGGTCGAAGTGAGGCTTTTGGGTTCACACCATTCCTACTCTGTTGGATGGGGTTGTCCGCTCTGTGCCCAGGATGGATGAGGTTGAGGTGGTCCAGGAGCTGGTGGTCCAGGAGCTGGCACGTTGGTTCGCAGGCCTTGGTAACCTGAGAACTTCTGGAAAAGCAAGCAAACGCACAAACAGGTGAACAGTGTAAGTGAGACAAGGTAAGGTTGTGAGGGGCAGTGCCCTTGGAGTTAGGTTAGTGTCACAGGAAATAAATAAAAATCTTAGGATTAACAGGCATGAGTGTTGGCTCACTGTAAACACAGGAATGGGGGTAAAAGCATTCACAATTTCCCTAGGAGGGTACAGGGGTTTGGCACTACTGGGTGCAGTGAGAGCACTGCTTCATTTATTATCCCGAAGTCTTGGACCAGCCGATAAGACCCGTCTTTCTTTTTGACTGGTAATATTGGGGTGTTACAGGGGGAGTTAACAGGGACCAAAAGTCCAAGTTGGAGGAATTTACTAATAGGGGTTGTAATCCTCTGATGGCTTCAGGTCTCAAAGGAGACTGTCACTGATGGGGAAACTGGGTAGGATCTTTTAGGAAAATCTTTACAGGGGTAGCATACTTAGCTTTGCCAGGGACTCTCGTGTCCCAAACTTCAGGGGTTATGGCTCGTTCCCACGGTTCCTGTGGGGGAATCTGCAGTGCCTCCACCATAAGGAGCAATTGGAAAGCTCTAGAGGGATGACTCTGCAGGTGTGTATCTTGGACAGTAAAGCTGTAGAGGCCTGATGATTATGCAGGTGTGTATCTTGGACAGTATATCTTGGCTTAGGAGAGGAAGTGGACATTCAGGGACTACTAGGAAGTTGTGAGAAAAATAGAAATTATCCCATGGGCACCTGAGAGGTTCAGTAAAATGTTTCACTACAGGTTTTCATGACACTCCCAGGATGGAGCAGGTGTGGGGTGCCAGGAGTCTGGGGAAGGAGGTAAGGACAGAATAGGTGGCCCCAGTATCTAAAAGGAAATTTACTGACCTACCAGCCACGTCGATGCTCACCCTAGGCTCCACACCAGTAACAGCTATCTCTTGCTGCTGGGCTGAGCGGACCGAGCGCCTTCAATCATCCTCCGTTAGCAGCTGCACATTGGCCTGTGGATGCCCCTCCTCCAGGTTTTTGGCCTTAGGACAGAGGCCAGCCCAGTGGCTGGTCTGCTTGCAATGGAAACATGACATCTGAGGAGGCTTGGTCCGGTTAGGGCAGTTGCTAGCCCAATGACCCGGTCGCCGGCAAATGTAGCACTTGGTACCTGGTTCAAAGGTCTGAGAAACCTGGGAGGCATTTGACGAGCGTCAGTTATTAAGTGCAGCCAATACCTGGGCATGCCGGAGGTCCTTCCTTCTCTCCTTCCCCCGGCCCGAACCTGCTCCCTATTGTAAAAGGCCGTATTAGCACAAGCAACCATCTCCTCTAGGGCAGCTACTTCAGGCTTCTGCACTCGTTTTTGGAGCTTCTTGTGAATGTCCGGTACAGCCTGTGTGAGAAACGTCCCTGATTAAGACTTGCCCCTCATAGGATTCTATATCTATAGCAGTATGATTGTTCAGGGCCTCCTTTAGCGGCTCTAAAAAGCCTGCAGGAGACTCCGTAGGTCCCTGGTGAATCGCTGTCACTTCGGCATAATTAATGGCCTTTCACCTACCTGACTTTAGTCCATTTGTGATGCACACCAGAAAATGTTCCCGTGCCCACTTGTCCTGAGGCTCACTAGGATTCCAGTCAGGGTCAGTTAAAGGTACAGCGGTTTCCCCTACAGGGTACTTTTCACTCATCACATGTAACTCCTCTGCAAACTCCCTAGCACCTTTGAGCACTCATTCTTTCTCAAAGTCTGTCCCAGTCTGTCCCATTATGACCACTACATCCTTCCAGGTTAAATCATAGACCAGGGTGAGGTGCTGGAAGTGTTCTATGTACTGTTCGGGTTTGTTAGAGTTACTGCCCAAGTCACTTTTCACTTGCTCGAGTTCAGTTAGAGTGAAAGGCTTGTAGACTACCTGGGGACCAAACTCCCCAGCTGCCTCGACTACGGGTAGAACTTTGGCAGGTTCAGGGCTGAGGGAAAATTTAACCCTAACTCCAGGGTCCCTTAGGGGGTCCTGGGTGCACTGGGAACGAAGGTCTTTCCTGCTCCTCAAAAGGAAAAATCCTCTAACATATGGTATTTCCGCAACTTGCCCATCCTTCACAGAAATGTTCTGGCTGAATCAGGGCTGGAAGGGCAAGTGTGCCGTTCTCTGGCCACGACTCTCCTGTTTCTATTGTGGCAAAATAGAGTTCCAAAACAAAATCAGCTTCTGTTTGTCCAGCCTCTCTGGACCAAATCTATCCCAATTGGACAGAATACATCTGAGGGGGCGATTCCTGGGTATCGAGCTGGTAAGTCTCATCTAGAAAACACACAACAAGGAGGTTGTCGAGAACTTGATGCCTCAAGGTCAATAACTGCCGCTTCAGCGCGCACCTCTGGGGTGCCGTGAATCTGAGGTCTCGGACAGGTGCCCCTGCCTGAGGGTGGGGTCAAAGAACAGTCGCTGCAGCCGACGTAGGTCTGACTGTTCTCTAGACCACAAGCTAGGAGGGCCACTGCTTGGTGTGGCCCCATGGCCTTAAAAGACACCTGCTCGCAGGAGCAGGCTCTCAAATCACTGAAGGGGAGGGACGTCTGTCCAGCAGCTCGGGGAACCTTTAGGGAAATTGGAATTTCTGGCTGGAACATCATGGCAGCAGAGCTGTAGTAAGGGCTGTCCCAAAAAGTGTTGGAAGCAGTATCACTGAAAGGTGAAAGTTAACAGTCACTCAGACTAGGCTTCCAAATGCCTTTGGCCTAGGCCTGGGCAACAGAAAACCAGCCAGTAGCAAAAGAACAACCCCACGCTGGTAGAACACTAAAGCAGCTTGTTTGTAAAACCAGGAGAAAGCTAAAGGGAATGGAAGGGGATAGGAAAAACTTCGGCTCCTGGAACTAGGTGGGGCTAACTCCCAGGCCCAAGCAACCAGCTACCTAGGCATTGCACCACCACCACCACCACCACCACCCCCCACATGTCTAGAGTGGGTGGTGCCATCCTGCCAGGGAATGGAGAGTCACACAGTTGGGAAAATGGCAGCTGCAGCTTGCCGTCTAGCCGAAAGTCAGTAGGGGGGGCCAGCCACCGGAGCCAGAGTCCTGCAGAAACCAACAGGTTTCTAGCTGGCCAGAGCACAAAGCATACCACTGAGACTCAAAACAACTTTGGGAATCGAAATTCTCCAAACCTGCAGGCAACAGGGTCCCAGTCCCCTCCCAGAAATCAAGACTGGGGAAGGCATGTGAGCTCCCAGGAAGGCAGACATATAGTCCCATATACCAGTACGAATAGACGAAAAGACAGACACAGAAGGATGGGGCTGCAGCAATGTGAGTGTCCCCATGAGTCGGTTCCGGGGTGTTTTGGCGGGAGGAGTTCAGCCTGGCTTCCTTTCCAGCTATGCGCTGGAGGGTGGTGAGGTGAAAAAGAGTCCAGAAGGTGCCTGAAAACCTGTGAGACCAGGATGTGAGGGCCCGCTCCAGGAAAATATCTGGAGCCGGCTTACCTTGAGTTAGCTAAAGAAAGTTTGAACTCAAGAAGATGCTGGCAGTCACAGCACCAATAGATCTCTTGTGGGAGAGAGATACCTCGGTCCTTGGCTTAACACAAGAAAGAATTCACTCCGAAGCCTGCATTGTGATCCAAGTGAGTTCATAGAGAATAGAAGCGGCCCAAGTGCGTGGGACAGCGGCTCAGCCAATCAGCCACAGCCTGGCAGCTCAACCACTGGGAGAGAGCACCAGAGCAAAGCCTCTGGCTTTTCAGGGGCCCCGCTGGGAGGCGTGGTCAAGGATTCTTTCTGGTCATCCACAGGTGTAAGCCCACCTAGGAGTACCACCTCTTCCTGGCCAGAAGCTTGAACCTCTGAACGTGCGTGCAACAGACGCCAAGCTACCTAACAATTTCATCTTTCCAGATCAGGTCTGCCCTCAGTCAGTGTGTGACTCAGGCAAGCCACTTGCATGTTAGGGTGCTGCTGTGTTGTGAAGCCA